AGCAGGAAACTGGAGCACATTGCCATATATTTGTACCTGAAACAGAATGGTAGTTCTGCAGAGAATCATGCTGTGGGCCCATGAATCTAGGTCACATTTACACTTCAGATTTAATGCTGTTATTACCTACCTCAACACACAGAGTTGCCTTTTCTGCCTTTAAGATCCCCATGTTTCAGGCCAATGATGTTTTTAACTTGTAGTTTATGTTGCTTTTTAGATTTGTGTACTGCCTAATTTTCAGAATTTTTCATCAAAGCAACATTAACCATAGATTTGATGACAACTGGAGCTGGCTAAAGAAATGTTATGCTCAGGGTTTTCAACTATAAATCATTGCTCCAAGGAAAACCTAAGAAAGGGAATTAATCCCTTTTATTCTCCACCAAAGGCAGGGTTTTGTTTTCTAGAAAACAATTGGGACTCTTTGTATTGCTGAGTAAGATTCTGCAGTGATAACCCTTAAACTCAAAAAAAAAGAGCTAAATTTGAATGTAAGGATATCAGTAAGATAATGAGCAACATTTTCACTCCTGTTGCCTCCTTCCATACCCAGGCATGCCATTCAGGAGGGAAGGATGTGCATTATCCATGTCATGTTCTCCCATTCTGCCTGGCTCCATACCTCAAACAACTCAGCTCAGATACTCAATCTAGTATATGCCAAGGGAAAAAAACATAAAAATTAGTGTGACTTATATCCCCAAAACCTCTGGCTGTCCTAACACTCCTCAGCTACAAGCTAAATTCTGCCTCTCATGTCTCCTTCCTACCCAACAAAAGGCTAATGCACTGTAATCCAGTTAAATCCCAAATGTGAACAGAGCAGTTGCAGGCTGGACCAAAGAGGGGAAAATAAAACTGCTAAAGCACAGCTTTGGGAAAGGAGGAAAACCCCATCTTAGGCATGGTAGAAAGAACAGGATCCCAACTCAGGCAGGGGACAGAATCAACACCCTGAAGTGTCCAAGCAATTTCTTTCTGGTTCTTATGCCTCTCCTGTGCCTCACACAAAGCATGCTTAGGTGATATGAAACCTAAAACTCACAATTCCCTGTCTGTATCATTAGATGGTGCCAGTGACAACATACTCCTCATCTGCTTTACTTTCTTGGCAACACGTTTGTCTATCAGGGGATCTATTGATTTTGACCAGATCTATCTCACATGACTTCTAAACTCCTTCCTACACATTTTGAATTTGCAGCTATAATTACCTAGTCTAACCAGAATAAGCAGAATTTACATGAGTTAAACAAGCAGGAGCAGTAGCATGGATGAAGGAATGCTGCACTCAGACAGTGCAACACCACACACTAATTACAGAGCCATATTTGTATAATTCTATCACTGCTAGAACAAGAAAAAAAAAAGGCAGACCAACAGCCTTAATTTAAGCATCAGTTTCTAATGACAGAATAAAATGCTGCCTCATTGGCTCCTGAAAATAAATCTCAGCATTACCATCTTTTTAATTCTCTTTAAATCCAAGAGAAGAAACTCTAGTAGCCGAACATCCATCAGAAAACGTAGCAGGGAGCTATGGATTACAGCAACAGATGGTCACACTCCTGAAAAGGTTATGACAGATGGGAGTGAAAGGCAGTAACTACTATAAGAAGGGCTTGGAAAAAAAATCTTCTATAGCATGAACAAATTATAACCAGCAGACTGACATTCAGAACTTTTAACTATTAAAGTCCTCAGGGGCCAAGCCAACTTGTTCAGCCATGCATGAAGGAAGGTAACTCTTTAAACCAAATCAAAATAATAAAAAAGCCCAGAATTCTAGCATCAAGCTTCTTCCTGGTAAGAGGAAAAGAGGAACCAAAACAGGACATCTGGCATGCAATGTGAGAAAGGCAGATTTTGAATTTAAATGCTCCTTCACTATGTTTAAAGTACAACTCGAGCATATAAACACTTGGCTTTTTCCAAAAACAAAGGAGGAGGAAGCAAGCAACGGATTATTTGTGTAGAAACATTAACCTTTGAGAGAATTTGAGTAATTTACTCACAATATTAATGAAGACTCTGACTACCTAGTGCAATGATTTTCAAGTTGTTGGTCTCAAAAGGTTCAATGGACACCACCAGGCTTTAAAAAAGTACCATTAGTCAGCAAGAGTCTAGTTCCTCTAAGGCATTTAGACTTTAATTCTTACTGCACAGCCCTGGAAGAAGCAAGATCCTGCAGATTCAGGAGGCAGGAAAAAGGATAGATGAGCTGCAATCTGATTTACATTCAGTTATCAAAATGATCTACTCAATATATATATAAATGGAAAAAGTGCTGCACTTCATAAAAGCTCTAATGCAGAAACCATTTAAGCCATTTGGCATCCTTCCAGTTACTTTAACATGCCTTGCAGTGGGCACAGTGACTTATTACCAGCTCTGAATCAGTGACTGGAATCCTCAGGAATTGATTTGAAATCTCATTTAATAGCGTTTATGAAATTAATATTAAAAGGCATCGTTCTCTCTGATATAACACTTCCAAGAGAGATCAGTCTCATGAGAGAAGATGGTAACAACCATTCAAGATATTGATAAAGTACTTACATATCTATTCATATGTGCCCTTCACAAAACACAGGGCAACTACCTTGCAGAGCAGCATGTTTCCCAGTTAAAAAAAACACAGAACACTCTGAAGAGGGTGGCATAGAGAGGTACCAGAAGGAATAATTTACTTTCCATATTTGAAGGGAAATATCGCTAAGTAAAAGTTCAGTTATAGCAAAGCACTAATTTTTCTTAAGCTGAACCTGCATCAGTGCTCCAAATTACTTTTGTTTCACCACAACAATGTTCAGCTCAAAGTTTTTAAGCAGCAAAGCTTCTACAATTACTTTGCCTCGTGTTTGTTTTTTTTCCTCCCAGTCAACTTACTGTTTGTTTGTCTACGACTAACACTGTTTTCATTTTAGCTCTGAAGTACCAGATGCAGACCAATCCCCTGTTGCCAGAACTCTCAGGGATGGGCAGGAGGTCTTTAAAAGAACTCACAGCTCTAAGAGCACAGATTAGTGTAATTTTACTCTGCATCTGCTTCCTCCATACACGTCACTACTCTTTCTTATCTGATGGTTTGCAGGCAAGCTGCACGGAATTTTTGGTTTCGTGGTCTTTTTCGTTTTGAGACCAAATCTGTCTCATTTGACTCTTCAAGACACTGGGTTCTTGTCAGTAGTGGAGACAAGCACGGTGCAGGCACATTTCTGCTGTACTTTGTCAAGTAAAACAGTTCATCCTGAAGCAAAGGCATCATAGGTCCCCAGAAGAACTGATGAGCTGCAGTGCACAAAGACCATTAAAACTGGCACCTTTGCAAAAAAGGCTCTGTGCTATTAGGATTTCAGGATTTGCTTAGCAGAGCTGTTTCCCAGGAAAATGCTGAAATATAGACCCAAAAGTTATCATACAATATGTACTGCGTGCATTTCATTTAACCTGAGCAACAGAGTAAGGAAAAATGTATCAAAATAACAAGCATCATAACAAAGATTGCAGTCAACTCCTAAGCAGCTGTTTAAGGCATTTTGATATGCAGAAACCTTTGCAGTATGGAAAAATCAGACCAGCGTTATCTTACTACACAGCACCCTAAGAAGTTTGGAGCCCCAAACCAGCTGTAAGTGCATGCTGACAGAACTCATCCATTCATGGCTGGTAGAGTCACACTGATTCACTATTTCTTGAGATTTACCACCACTTCACTAGCAACAAACTTGCTCTATAGGTTTGACTTTGTGCTTACTTAAAACTTCTCAACTGTTCAGCAGTGTGGTAGCTGAATGAATTTTGCCTCTGTGATCAGCTCTACCTTGGTGCTAGCATAAATATAAATGAAGCTGTGACCAGACCTAAGTCTAACCATGAAATTTCTGAGTTTAAAGGATGTGTAACAATCATAGGCCAAAAAGATCACCATGAAGAGTAAGGTGCCAAGCTATAGCCTCATACAAATGATATTTAAAGACAGCTTAATCAATATACATTAAACTATGGGCTTGATCTAAGGCTGAGACAAAGAACCCAGGAGTTAGGGTGAGTCAGAGATCAATATTATGCATTTACTGAATCACTGGCACATTTTATACAGGAGTGCCAAGAAAAGTATTACTAACTTGCTATTACCACCATGCGCTGCTTTCACTCTTGCTTTACAATCTCAGCATCTATGCAGCCAAATAATGCTGAAAGTCTTTGGATCAGTAAAATACTTTTCCTTGTATAGCCAATAACAAGGAGTTAATTAAAATGAATTTTGTCAGTGTTAAGGATAACATCAGTATACCAGTGGAAAAATTTGAAGAAGATGCATTTATAAAGCACTCAGCGCTGTGACATAGCAAAGCAGTTACTGCAAACCCCGTGGGCTAGTACCTACCCAGGATGGGCGACTGCGCTGGGCAGTAGGGCATAGTGTCCTCACTGGGGGCGCGGGTAAACAAGCTGAGGTTCGTGTACACATCGTGCGGTTTCGAGTAATCCAGAGCCTGGGGCGAGTCTAAAAACCCACGAAACACGTTCGAAGGTCCGCCGCGGTAGAGAATCAGGATAAAGATCGCTTGGAAGACGAAGAGGAACAGCAGAAAACAATGATTTTCGACACGGGAGAGGGACATAGCTTTTAGCCCATGCTCCGCGATCTGAGCCGGGAGGAGCTCAAGTGCCTTCCAGGCGCTGCCGTCCCACGCTGCGGCTGGGGCATCCTCCTCCTCTTCCTCCCCCTCCTGGGGCATCCTCCTCCTCCTCCTCCTCCTGCTGCAGCTTTCCCGGGCCGCAGTGTGCTCTTCGAGCGGCTTCGGGCTGCAAAAGGGAACGAGCGCTCCAAGGCCACCAGCGCAGACCCCGGGGCAGCGGCTCCCGCTCGCCGCGGCACAGGC